TATATATATATATAGAGAGAGAGAGAGAGAGAGAGAGAATAATTTTGGTAAATATTGCAAGATCGTCTTGTGTTACAAAAAAATATGGCGCAAATATTTTGATTTTAATTTTTCTGCCTATTTTGTTGCACATATGTTCCAGTTAATAATTAATCAAGGATTTAAGCATAAATCATTAATGTCTTCTGATTGAACACCAACTTGCATTATAAAAGAAGACAAATCATTGATGTCTTTTGATATAATTTAATTATTTTTTTATTTATTTGATAAAATAAAAAGCAAAAATAAAGCATAAATTGAAAACAATTCTACCATTTTTAAAATCAAAGCTGGGTTTTATTTTTTAAACTGAACCAAATTAATCAGATTGACTCTAGGTATAGTTCAATTTTTTTACTTGAACCAAAGAATGCATGACACCTCTATCAAGAATGAATAAGATACTGGGTTGCTTTGTACCGTGCTTCATCGCAAGGAGTGGACGTCAGGGGCAGGTTTACACGGATATTCAGTTTTAAGTGCTAATTTCGAGCGGCGTATGCGTAGAAAACTTCTTCAACAAGCATACGATGATGGTGAGAAAGGCCGAAGAGTTGGATTTATGTAATTTGGCATGATTCTTGCGTTGGATTGGTGAAAGAAGTGTGTGGAGCGTGACTTGCAAGCTTCCTTATGTGCAGATAGAAAACTGACGTGTGTTCTCTGCAAAAAACTTTATGAATTTCATAGTGAAATTTCTTGTAGTGTGACACTGTGAATGTGATTTTTTTTTCTATTCTTGGGTTTTTCCACGCAACATCCTTTTATGTTTTTATAGTTGTTTTAATTGTGTTTTCTATTTATTTTTTGTTCCGGTTTGCTTGAATTTGTATGATCATGATATCCCGCTGTGTGGTTTAAATTGTAATTGATCCTAAGCCCAATAAAGTTAGGGTTAGTCGCGATATATTCTTAACAAGTAATAAGTATAGGATTAAGAATGTATTTCTCACATCTTATGAGATTTAAAGCTCTTGATTTTACCCAACTTTACTGAATGCCCATTGCATCGAATGTATAACTCAAACAAGTTTTTAGTTGAACTATATATGTCATATGAAAAGCCATTCAATCAAGACACAATAAAATTCAGGTCACAATATCAAGAATAAAAGCTGTAAATTCAAAAAATAAAAAAAAATAAAAATCAATGTTTTAATTTTAATATCAAAGTAGTCATCTTCGTATGACAAATCCATATATTCAAACATTTATATTTTAATATTCAAATTTCAGAAGAGGAAATCTTCAATATTTTAACTTTAATGCGCTGAAAGACTCCTTTATCTAATCCAAATCATGATTCATGTTTTAACTACAATTGAAATTAAAAATTAACGGTAAAACAATCATTTTATGGATGAGACGGCCGACAAAGAAGATGGCAGGCACTGTAGGTTATCAAGTCTCTGTAGAAGCAGATGAGACAAACAGAGAGGGAGGTCTGGCAATGATTTGAGGAGTGGAATGTTGTCTAAAAAAACATGCTTGAGGGATGAGATGGCCGACAAAGAAGATGGTAATGATTTGAGGAGTGGAATGTTTTTTAACCATAGAACTTTGAGGAATGAGATGGCCGACAAAGACGCTGGGAGGCACTGCAATGATTCCAGGTATTCAAGATGTAATTCTTTCAGGGAGGTGGGGATGTGTAAAAGCTGCTGGAGCCGAGGAACTTTTTCGACGCGTAGAATCTTAAGTGAAGAGAGGCGTTCCAAGAAGGAAGGGAGAGACTGCAGCACATCATCATTACAAATTGTGAGCTTTTCCAAGGAGGCGATTCTCACCGTCAGCAACAAGGATGAGTCATCTATAACAACTTGACTAAGAATAACCTGGAATTTCTCAATGCCACTCTCCACTTGTTGTCGTCCACCAACAGAATGAAGAGATGTGATGTTTGGACACGAAAGGACCTCTAATGTTTGAAGGCAGCAGTTGTTGGTTTCTTGCTTGTAGATCAAAGCAGCCTTCCATCCGATGTTTTGTATCTTCATTTTCTTGAGCTTAGGAGGCAAATAGGGCAACTCCTGCAGATTTGGGCAGTTAACGAGGAAGAGTTCAGTTAAGCAAGGAAAGAAACAGTCATATGCTGTTGCTCTTGCTCCATCAAACCAATCCTCCAATACTTGCAATCCCTCCATATTTAGCACCTCCAACGATGGAAACACAGAAACCTTGTCATTCCCATGGAATTTAAAATCAAGCCGCTTTGCATTTGACATGTTACAAAGGTACAGAGACTTGAGGTGGGGAAGCTGCCCAAAAGGAGGAAGGGCTTCCCACTCCGAACACCCGTTCAGACAGATGTACTCTAGATTGGAGATCAAATCCGCATTGTACATCCATTTTGCAGAGCATGCGCCCTCATATGAAACTATGGACAATCTTTTCAAATTTTTGTATGGTTCAAGATTTTCGAGCACATTCACATCTAATTCAGAATTGACTATGTTACGTACGCATCTATATCCCCTGTCTAATTCCCATTTATTAACAGTTTTGCCCCAATTCAAAAATAAATCTGTCAGTTTTCTTTTCTCCAATAATTTTGCAGTGCGAGCCTCTCCAGCATCCTTCACATTTTCCAGAAAATTTATTTTTAATTTGCGCAACTCGCTCATATGCTCCAACTCCCCAATTCTATAACCATTCTCATTCTTCACATTAAACTCATTTAGTTCTTGAAGTGACCTTAATATCCCAATTCCAGGTACACTATAAAATGTATACCGGGGCAATTCCAAGTGACGCAGATTAGTAAGATTAGTCACATCGCCAAGTAAGAAATCATCAGACCAAAATCCCCCAAATGCATTTTTATAGATTATGAACCGCAAATGATAAAGACTGCTTAGAGATCTTGGCATCTGAGTGAGATATCCATGAGATCTGCAGTAATATTCAAATATCGAAGATATCTTAAATTTTTAATAGCCTCAGACATCTTTTCCTTATATGGAGAGTCAACGAACAACAAACGAATGCTTCTTGATGCCTTAAAAATTTCAGTAAGTATTTCAGTAAAATCTTGATCATTGGTTGTAAGGGTAATAAAAAGTGAACGTAGATTTTTAACATCTTTGATCATTCTGAACAGTTCTGGATTTCCAGTTTTAACAAATAAGTGTCGAACATTTTTAGGAGTTTTAAAAGATGAAACACTATCTCCCACGAATCTAAAACATTCTTCTAAAGAAACAAACAGTGCCAAATCATGTAATAAATCATGCATCTTATAATAGATTTTCTTGTCGCAGTGAAACTCGTTAAAGAAAGATTTTTTTACCAAAACATCGAAATACCTTTCTCCAATATCTTCCAAAGTCTCTCCTTCAATAGAAGATTCCTGAATGAAACCCAATGCAATCCACATTCGGACTAAATCATCTTTATCAAACTCATGATCTTGTGGGAATATGCCACAAAATGCATAACAATTTTGTAGAAGTTGTGGGAGGAACGTAAAGCTCAATCTTAAGATAGACAAAATGTTATTACGACCCGGTTCTGGTTCTACGTTTAGAACATCAGAACTATTTAAAATGTTCATCCAGAAGCTCTCTTTCAAGTTAGAATTGAGAATACCACCGACGATCTTTGCTGCTAGTCGAGATCCTGAAAGCTTTTTAACTATCGAACTAGCAATGTTTGTTAATTTTGTATGAGCACCAAGGTTCTCTACACCAGCAAATGCATGGGTGTTGAGTAGCTTCAAACACACATTTTCTTTCAAGCCCTTTATTCTCAATGTTTCCCTCTTCTTTTTAAAAACATTTGCAATCGTCGATGCAACTGCAGCCATTCGAGTAGTTATCAAAATCTTACTTCCGAAACTTCCATTAGTCAGAGGGGAGAGCACATTCTCCCATTTGCTCATATCTTCCTCCCAAATATCATCTAGAACAAGCAAGAATCTTTTGGATTGCACGACAGCTGTCAAGAGGTATAGAGCCATTTATGTAATAAAAAATTAATTTCTCAATTAAAATTTAGTCTTTGTTTAGAGCAGAGTTACAGCTGTTTAAATAAACAACAATCAAAAGAAGCTGCATTTATTTTATTTTTAAAAGTCAGATTGCTTCTTCGTAAAATACAGCTTGCTGCGTCAGCTTTTTGGAAGGGCCGTAAATGAACTTTAGCTCTTGTTTGATTCTTTAAAAAAAATTATTGTTCAGTTCGTTTATATTTCAAAAAAAAAATATTTTTGCATTTAGCTCGCTTGCTTAATAAGTCGAATATAAATAAAGAATCATTTTGACAACCTTAATCATACAGTCGTAAGTTATTAAGGTTTGGAATGAGAATCAAATCTAATTATTTATATTCAAACATCATTTAAATATAATTAAATATTTTTTTAGTTATATTATTAATTAATAATTTTAATTGATTATAAATTTTATAGGCTTGT